TCGATTTAGCCATGTCTGTCTGTCTGTCCCCCTGTCTGTCTGTTGTAATCACGCTATCTTTCGAACGAATTGAGATAGAAGGCTAAAATTTTACACACATGTTTATTTTTCCAGTAGGCAGGTTAAGTTCGTAAATGGGCCATGTAGGTCCACGTACCATATAACGGTACCTCCCGATATTCGGTATTTTGATGATTTTAGCGACATTATTAACTGGATTTGTTTCAAATTTGATATTTGAAGTTCGAGATGGATACTACAGTCTTAGACAGAAAACTGTATGTGCAGGTCCACGTCTTCCTATAGCCCCCGTATACCGGTACCTCCCTATATTCGGTATTTTGATGATTTTCGCCTCATTATTCACCGGAATTGTTTCAAATAACGTATTTACAGTTCGTAATGGGAAGTCTGTGACAGAAAATTGTGTATGCAGGTCTAGGTCTTCGTGTAAGCCTCACACACCAGTACCTCCCTATATTCGGTATTTTGACGAGTTTAGGCACAATACCCACCGAAATTGTTTGAGACGCGTATATGGAGCTCGTAATAAATGCTGCATCTATGGCAGAATGTTTATGATGATTTTTGCTACATTATTCACCGTTTATTTCAAGTTTCGAATTTGAATATGGTAATGACTTACGGCAAATGCCTATGTAGGTCCTCGTCGTATAGACACCAATATAACGGCTATATTTGATATTTTTAAAATGTTAACAACTTTTTAAGGATTTTATCTCCAAATTCATTCCAAATGGTGGAGGGTATTCAAAGTTCGGCCAGCGCCGAACTTACTGCTTTTTAACTTGTTTTTCTTGGTGTCTGCTCAAGTAAAAACAAATGTTTGCCTGATGTCGGTTTGACTGACACAAACAAGAACGACATTGTCAGGATTTTTTTTGTGATGCGTAAAAGGATAATGCGAACGGGCATAAATATGCCAACTTATAAACGAGAAAAGAAAAAAGAAATAAAGAATGGATGGGTGTGTGTGAGTGTGTGTAGATAAACAAAGGTGTATGCATACATAAATACATGTCACACACACACACACATACCAATGAAAATGGAAGAGTGTGTTTGTTTGTATGAGTAACTGGGTGATTGTAATTTTTGTCTACTTTAAATGGATTTTGTTTTTCATAAACAAACACACACATACGGATACGCACAGTCACACATATGCAAATTGAAATATGTGTGTGTGTGTGTGTGTGTGGAACACAGTAAACATTATATTTCACATTTGTTTGCTGTACTTAAGAACCTGTGATTTTTCTCTGCCTCGATCTCCCTCTCTTTCCCGCACTTCTAGGACTTGTTTATGGACTTTCTTGCCAAAAACAAAACAATATTTACCAACCTGGTTGATAAGCCAGGCAAAGAAAATATTTTTTTTTCCCAATTTAATTTGCTTTTAGAAAAATCTCCATATGTATGTGTTTGTGTGCGTGTCTGTGTGTTGAAAAGTAATTGAATGACTTCCAAACATTTATTTCGGCATAGGTAAATATTAATCAAATAAATGCTGTAGAGATAATCATGAAAGCTGTGCAGATAAAGAAAGGACTAATGATAGGCATTCATTTCTAATAGCACAAAGGAAGAAGACAAATGGAGAGTACTTTTTGGGCAAGAAAAAGATCGCCTAAATGACTTATGTGGGGGGAAATAAAATAAAAACGTATTTTTGCAGCCATATGGCTACATAGGAGGGTATATAACACTTGATACCGACAAAATGTACCTCATCGAAACAACGGGTTTGGACCTAGGGTCCCTGTGGGCCAAATCCGTTTCGGGGCATTTGAAGTCGATCTAGGTGTGTCCGTCCGTCTGTCTGTCTGGCTGATGCGCACGAGTTCCAGTTCGTAGATGGACAATATCGGTCCACTCCTTCTGATACCTCCCCCGCAAAAGGTCAAAGTTTTCAAAGAAAATAAAAAATCTGCCAATAGAACTTGAGTCGAACCTGGAGAGTTTCTAGTGTATAATTCGCATATGCTAATTTGCAATAAGTTCGAAATATATACTACTTTCCAGAGAACGGCCCTTGTAAGCCATCATCCACATCAAATATGCCTGATGAGCCGCTTAACCAACGGCGAAACGCGTCGCATAGTGGTGAGTGTGTGATAGTGTCTATCTGGCTTTCCTTTTCACTGCAAATTTCAGATCATTAAGCTCGTCTCGAAAGAGAAAACAAACACTTAAATCATAAAACATATGATCTTCGCCTTAACAAGGCAAAACTCAAAATAATTTTACTTATGCAAGAAGAACGGATCATCAAATTTTCTTAAAATTTTGCAAATCTTAAAATTTGTATCAGCGCTTTGTTGGGTGCGAAAATATACAATCTCGGCCCACTCCATCAAGTACCACCCCCAACAAAGGCATTTGGAATAATTATAACTTTTATAAAATGAGAAAAAAATCCGAATTTCTTCAAATTTCATACATCCTAATATTTTTACTAACACAATATCTGGTGTGAAAATGGAATATATCGGACCATTCCTTATGTTACCTCCCCCACAACGGGTTAAAATTTTGAATGGCCATGAAAATCGATAGATGAAATACCCGATTCCTTCGAAACTCGGCATATCCCAATATTTTTATCAACACAAAATCAGATGTTAAGATGGAATATGTCGGACTTCTCCTTGGGGTACCTCCCCCACAACGGATCAAAATTTTGAGTAATTATATCTCCCATAAAAACCGGAAGAAACATACAATTCTCTTCAAATTTCTCACATCCCAATATTTCGATCGACAAAAACTAGATATGAAAATGGAATATGTCTGACCATTTCTGGGGGTACCTCCCCCACAATGGATCAAAATTTTGAATAATTATATCTCTCATAGATTCCATTCAAATTTCACATATCCCAATATTTCTATCCACAGAAAACCAGGTTTAAAAATGGAATGTATCGGACCACTTCTTCTGGTACCCCCATTCCCCACAGCGGGTCAAAATTTTGAATAATTATATCTCTCAAAAGAGGCGAAATAGATTATCTTAGAATTACACATATATCAATGTTTCGAACAACACAAAACTAGGTGTGAAAATGGACTTGGTCGGACCATTGCTTTTTTGGATAATTTCAGGGTGAGATAAAAAAAAACTGCAACAAAGTCAAACGCCCTAATTTTCAATCTTTTTTTTTTTAAATTTTATTGAATGAAAGCAAAAATTGTCGGAAATAGCATCAAAATTTAGATTAAGTTCAGATTTGTTCGAATTGGCCACATTTGCCACGAATTATGGCTTTCAAACGGCCAATGAAACCGTCACACGCTGACCGAATGTTGCTCTGCGGTATTTTGGCCCATTTCCGGTAAAGCGCTTGCTTCAGGTGATAGACACTTTGGTATTTTTTAGTATCAACCTTGCTTTCCAAAATACTCCAGACACAATAGTCCAACGGATCGGTATCCGAAAACTTTTGGTGGCCATTTTGCTCTAGAAATTAAGCAAGGAACCACATTTTGTAACCATTCTTGGGTGGCGCGTGCTGAGTGCGATGGTGCTGAGCCCTGTTGAAATGTCCAAGGTCTGCGGCCAAAATGTTTGCGTGCCCAAGGCTTAAATACACCCTCCAGAATATATTCTCACGATAATATTCGGCATTTATTCTGATGCCACAGTCGATTAATACGAGCGAATAGCGACCATCTGAGTTGAGTTCTGGTGGCCAACCGAAGGTGCACATTTTCAGCTGACCTCTTTGGCAAGTAAACACGACCATTTTGTTTGTTTACAAACTGCTGGTCAACGAATGTTTTCTCATCGGAGAACACCAAATTCGACAGTTCACAACTTTCGGCCAAGCGAAGCAACTCTGTAGCTCTTTTGAGTCTATTTTCTTTCTGTTGCGGTGTAAGTTCTTGCACTCTTTGGCATTTCAATGGCTTTACCCCGAGCTAATTTTTCAATATTTACCGAATGGAATATTGCGATATGTTCAGCTCATGGGCCATTTTTCGGCCACTGCGACGCGGGTTTCGATCAAGTCGCTTCTTTACTTTTCGAACCATTTCTGCTGATGTTGCTTTTTTCTTCCGTCCACTTTCATGACGTCGGGCTACGCTGCCAGTATCACGGTAACGAGCGATGGAACGAGCCAAAAAATACTTATTCACATTTAAATGCTGGAGTGCTCTAACGATAGCCACTTGTGGTGTTCCAGTCAAATATAAGGAGATCACACTATCACGCTTGAACATCACGAGTAAGTTTTTTTTCTGGAAAATTCGCACCAAATGAGCTATCACTGGAATAATTTTAACAGCTGTCGGACGAATGGCTTAGAAATGACAGCAGTCTGAAGTTGGTTGCAGGTTTTTCATCTCACCCTGTATATCTCTCATAAAGTGCGAAATAAGCATCAGATTCTCTTCCAATTTCATATGTCTGAAAATTTCTATCAACACAAAACCAGATCGGAAAATGGAATATATCGGACCACACCTTGTGGTACCTCCCCCACAACTGGTCAAAATTTTGAACAATTATATCTCCCATAAAATTTTAGACTTTAAAAAAGACTTCTCTGAAATCCAATCACTAGAATCATCTATAAATATTCTCCATTCTTCATTTTCACAGTTATCCCCTTTTCCATATCGACTTCCTGCAAATTCCTTTTAGTCACTTTCCTTAATTGTAATTGTGTGGTTATGGCCAAATCAAAAACCGCATTTCTTAATTTCATAAATGTGACTGAGTGTGTGTGTGCGCGTGTGTGTTACACAGCCATCCTTGTGTACATGTTCTGGTTCGTGTGTGTGTGTTGGTGCCTCTCCTATTCAATCCTATTGGTTTGTGGTTGCTTGTCGTTCCATTAAATACAAAATATCAAAAATTACCATAATTGGTGAAACCAACCACGGTCATAGCACCCCCATGCACCCCACCAACACAATTAGTTCCCCTCGCCATGCAGAGCGATTTACTACCAAGTACTGGGAGTACTTACCGAATCACATGATATGTCAATTCGCAGAACCGGACTGGTCATTTGCATGCTGTTCAATAGGGTATAATCATCCAATGACCACAAACAGATGGTCTTATCATGACTCGACGAAATCAGGACATCGCAAGTGGTCACCACTTTGACACCAGTCACGGCCGCCCGATGATGGGTGATTTTGTGTAGCTGAAAAGGGGAGAGAGAGAGGAGAGAGCGATGTGTGGTGATTAGTTCGAATATAAATTAAATGAGAATATAATGCAAATAAGTTTCAAATTCGTTGAGTGATTAAAATTTGGTAGTTAGTTTGTTAGTTAATTGCGTGCTATCAGAAGGACATATCCTCCACACATGGGAGTGGATTAGAGCATATATGGTGTGTGATACGGTAATTGGTAATATTGTTAAAAGGATGAAATGTTCATTTCAACTTTTGGATATCTACAGGAGTGGGCAATTCTTTTCAACAAGGTATAAAATGTAATAATAATAATAATAATAATAATAATAATAATAATAATAATAATAATAATAATAATAATAAGAATAATAATAATAATAATAATAATAATAATAATAATAATAATAATAATAATAATAATAATAATAATAATAATAATAATAATAATAATAATAATAATAATAATATAATAATAATAATAATAATAATAATAATAATAATAATAATAATAATAATAATAATAATAATAATAATAATAATAATAATAATAATAATAATAAAATAATAATAATAATAATAATAATAATAATAATAATAATAATAATAATAATAATAATAATATAATAATAATAATAATAATAATAACAATAATAATAATAATAATAATAATAATAATAATAATAATAATAATAATAATAATAATAATAATAATAATAATAATAATAATGTAATCCAGATGTCGAAGTTGTCGTGGAGATGCCTTTTCCGGACGCTGCTTAAAAGCGTATGTTATAGGTTTGTGGTCCGTAAAAATGCAGAACTGACGACCTTCCAAGAAATACTGGAAATGCTTCAAAGTGGAATATATTGCCAGCAATTCACGGTCATATGCACTGTATTTAGCTTGAGCAGGCGACAATTTCTTAGAAAAAAATCCTAGTGGCTTCCACTCACCACTAACATACTGTTGTAGGACACCACCCATGGCAAAATCGGAAGCGTCGACACAAACTGATGTTGGTGCATTTTCGCATGGATAGGATAATAATGTTGCGTCTGCCAACTCTTTCTTGCAATTTTCGAAAGCTTGTGTCCGTTCCTCAGTCCACGTTATATCGCTGTTATCGTTCTTCACATTGGCGTTGTAAATGCTATGTAAAATTGCCTGTGACTTTGCAGCACCTGGTAGAAATCGTCTGTAGAAGTTTATCATACCCAGAAAACGACGAAGATCTTTGACAGTGCTGGGTCTCTTATATGCTTGTATTACCTGAACTCTGCTAGGAAGAGGTCTTAACCCTTCTTTTGTTACGAGATACCCAAGAAATTCCAATTCCGCAACTCCAAAAACACTTTTATCGATGTTGATAGTTAAACCATATTGGCGCAGTTTCTCGAATAATCTTCTAAGATGATTTTGATGTTCTTCCGCACTTACTGATGCCACGAGAATGTCGTCTATATAAACGTAAACGAATTCTAAGTCTCTACATACCTCGTGCATAAATCGTTGGAATGTTTGTGCAGCGTTGCACAATCCAAATGCCATCCTAGTAAATTCAAAATTTCCAATCGGTGTTGCTACTGCTGTCTTTTTTATATCTTCTTCTTCCACTGGTATATGGTGGTAAGCTTTAACCAAATCAATTTTGCTAAAAATTGTCTCACCATCCAGCAATGCACCAAAATCATGAATATGTGGAACTGCGTATCGGTCTGGGACGGTGCGAGCATTTAAACCACGGTAGTCACCGCATGGACGCCACTCACCATTGGATTTCTTCACCATATGTAGCGGACTAGCCCAACTGCTATTTGATGGACGACATATACCAAGACGAATCATTTCCTCGAATTCTTTCTTCACAATTTGTAGTTTTTCAGGTGGAAGACGTCTGGGTTTGCTGAAAACGGGTGGACCTTTCGTAGTTTCGATATGATGCTTAACTGAATGTTTTGCTCTAGATTTGAAATTAATCTTTGTTAAGTCGTTAAATTCTCGCAGCAATGACGTATATTGAGATGATCTCGAAATGCATTTAATAGCGGAATCCTGTACACTTGCTATAGCACCATTACATTTCCAATTGGTGTGGGGGTCTATAAGAGTATTATTCTTAATATCGATAAGTAGTCCATATTTCCCCAAAAAATCTGATCCAATAATAGGTTTTTGTACATCAGCAATTACGAAGTTCCATTTAAACAATCGATTCATTCCCAAATCTATGGAAAGGGTTTTTGTACCATATGTCCTAATCGGAGTTTGGTTTGCGGCATACAAAACAAGCTGACTGGGAGGTTGATTTCGCATGGATTGCGACACAGGATATACCGTTAAATCTGCCCCTGTATCTACTAAATACCTGGTTTTCGATTTAATGTCTCGAACAAACAGGCGACATATATCTGGGGTACACTCATCCGTCACCAAAGATGGTGCACCATTCAGTTTTCCGAAGTTGGAGGCTTATAATTGCATGGAGCAAGACATTTTCTGGCTTTCTCCCCAAATTTGAAATGATACCAACAATAAGGTTTTGATTTGCTTCCGGAATTTGACCGTCTATTCCTTGATGATGATGACTTGCTACGGCTTCTTGACTTCCTGAAGGAATTTATCTGCGTGCAGAGCGTTTGCAATTTCTTCTCAATTTCCTCTAAACGAGTGCTCGATGGATAAAAGCTGCACACATCCGATTCACTGCTATCCGCAATCTTATCGGCCATCGTTGATAATTTGTCAAGACTATCTTCACTAACTGACAATATCGCCTTCATTTGTGAAGGAAGACGTTGCATCCACAACTGCTTCAAAATGTCGTTTGAAACCTTACCTTGAGACAAAGACCGCATTTCGGATAATAACTCTGAAGGCTTCTTGTCTCCAAGTTCAACGTTAGTCAAAAGCTTCTTGAGACGCTTCTCCTCTGAATCCGAAAAACTGCTAATAAGTTTTTCCTTAAGCTTGTCGTACATGTTTTCCGCAGGAGGATCGACGATGATGTTTGATACCTTCTCCAAAATACTGCTTTCAATAGATGCGACAATGGTATGGAATTTTGTGGAATCTTGCGTAATACCAGCCATAATGAATTGCGATTCCATTTGTTTAAACCAAAGCAGCGGGTCTGAACGCCAAAATGGTGGAGCTTTCACAGCTACTCGCGAAACTTCCATTGATGGTCCAGAATTTGTAGCGGTGGTTGCCATTAGTAGGTCTGATTTCCGTTCAATTGGCTGTTCTTATTTTTTGTCCGGGGTCACCAATTTGTTGTGCGTTGGTATGAATAAAACCACAACAATTTAATTTTTTTTAAAATTAATGTTTAATTTCCAAAAGACAAAATAGAACTCTCTAGAAAATGTAAAAATTATTTTGTTGTCACCAAATACCAAAACTGAAAGTCAAGGCTAACTTCACGAAAAAAGAAAAATACAAAATCAAGATGACTTGATCACATAAAAATAATATTTTTAAAGTAAATTATTATTGAGTACTTTCCGGCCACCACAATAATAATAATAATAATAATAATAATAATAATAATAATAATAATAATATAATAATAATAATAATAATAATAATAATAATAATAATAATAATAATAATAATAATAATAATAATAATAATAATAATAATAATAATAATAATAATAATAATAATAATAATATAATAATAATAATAATAATAATAATAATAATAATAATAATAATAATAATAATAATAATAATAATAATAATAATAATAATAATAATAATAATAATAATAATAATAATAATAATAATAATAATAATAATAATAATAATAATAATAATAATAATAATAATAATAATAATAATAATAATAATAATAATAATAATAATAATAATAATAATAATAATAATAATAATAATAATAATAATAATAATAATAATAATAATAATAATAATAATAATAATAACAATAATAATAATAATAATAATAATAATAATAATAATAATAATAATAATAATAATAATAATAATGTAATCCAGATGTCGAAGTTGTCGTGGAGATGCCTTTTCCGGACGCTGCTTAAAAGCGTATGTTATAGGTTTGTGGTCCGTAAAAATGCAGAACTGACGACCTTCCAAGAAATACTGGAAATGCTTCAAAGTGGAATATATTGCCAGCAATTCACGGTCATATGCACTGTATTTAGCTTGAGCAGGCGACAATTTCTTAGAAAAAAATCCTAGTGGCTTCCACTCACCACTAACATACTGTTGTAGGACACCACCCATGGCAAAATCGGAAGCGTCGACACAAACTGATGTTGGTGCATTTTCGCATGGATAGGATAATAATGTTGCGTCTGCCAACTCTTTCTTGCAATTTTCGAAAGCTTGTGTCCGTTCCTCAGTCCACGTTATATCGCTGTTATCGTTCTTCACATTGGCGTTGTAAATGCTATGTAAAATTGCCTGTGACTTTGCAGCACCTGGTAGAAATCGTCTGTAGAAGTTTATCATACCCAGAAAACGACGAAGATCTTTGACAGTGCTGGGTCTCTTATATGCTTGTATTACCTGAACTCTGCTAGGAAGAGGTCTTAACCCTTCTTTTGTTACGAGATACCCAAGAAATTCCAATTCCGCAACTCCAAAAACACTTTTATCGATGTTGATAGTTAAACCATATTGGCGCAGTTTCTCGAATAATCTTCTAAGATGATTTTGATGTTCTTCCGCACTTACTGATGCCACGAGAATGTCGTCTATATAAACGTAAACGAATTCTAAGTCTCTACATACCTCGTGCATAAATCGTTGGAATGTTTGTGCAGCGTTGCACAATCCAAATGCCATCCTAGTAAATTCAAAATTTCCAATCGGTGTTGCTACTGCTGTCTTTTTTATATCTTCTTCTTCCACTGGTATATGGTGGTAAGCTTTAACCAAATCAATTTTGCTAAAAATTGTCTTACCATCCAGCAATGCACCAAAATCATGAATATGTGGAACTGCGTATCGGTCTGGGACG